GGGAGTGAGCGAGCGGCTGCGTGGTGCTCAGTTGCCGACTGGGGTTAAACCACGACAGTCTTGCACACTGAAATACAGACGGCTCAACACAACGCCACGTCTCCATCTCACTATACACCTCGCTCCTATTGCTTTCAACACACACCGGCGCTCTTCCCAACCCAGGACCGTTCATGCGAATGGTGGGACCGCCAATGCCCCACCAGTCCCGTCGCTCACACCTATACCTGGTGCTCTGTGTCATGGGGGTTTATTTCAGTAAACGACGAAATTATCCTCCTCGTTTTCCCCTATCAAAACCGACTCTTGAGAAAATAAGTACATTACACAAAGTATTTTAGATGAACATCCCGACATGTTTACCTTAGCCTTTTCTACTGTCTACAAAAAGAAAATAAAGGATTACAAGCAAATTATTGAATGACATGAGGTTAAGTCAAATTTTAAGTGAGGGTGACAGGTTTAGCATCCATGTGGAATTTTGAGTAAAATAAAAAGCCTGCCTTTCTACGTGAAACCTGGTTTCAAGTCACCCAAACTTCAAGCGATTCTTTCATCGCTCTTCCTATTCCTATGAGACAGCGTAATTTTAAATATTGGATAATTTGAGTCTGCAGCTTGAAGGTTTCTTCAGAACGTCAGCTTCTTGCTTTTTGTAGACAGACTGATGACACTGTAGTTAATTTGCTTAATTAGTGATTTACAGAAAGATCTCTCTACGAGAACGTGAAACCCTTCAAATGAAATGCTTTAAGTGCAGAATCAAGAGACCATCCATAATGATTGTTTACTCCCATCTTCTACGTATTTTTGGGCCACGCTACTTCTATCAGCAGCTCCTGCGATTGATGGCATTACACTTCCTAAATACAAAACAGAACTCTGCAAGAGGCCGAGCGTAACCGTCCCAAGTTTTTCCTAACAGGGGCACGTTGCTTTTTAAAAAATCGTGCTGGGATGAGCAGGAAAGAAGTCAGCACATAAAATAAACACACACATCCAGATGCCGTCGCACAGCCCAGAAGGAGTTTTCCCCTTGGCTTCAGCAGCTTTGTTTCTATTACTCCATCTTTCCTTCCCCCAAGCACTTGGCTTTTGCTGACCGCTGCATCCAGGCACACAAATCCTTCTTCTAATGGGTGCTCTGGTACCGTGGAGCACAGGGAGAAGGCTTGCACAGATGTTCATTTTGTAAGAAACAATAATTCATGCAAATCCCTGCTCCAAGCAAATTCCACAGTAGTGCATCTTATCGCAAGCCAAACAAAAAGTACAAATACATTTGAGAACCGTAAACCTGTATTAAAAGAATTTGCTCTAGTTACAGCTTGAATCTCCCCCTCTCCCTCCAACGACTCAGCCAGTAAACTATCCACCGACACTAAACACCAACCAAACCACTAATTCCACCCGTGCTAATAAGAAGCGTAAACCCCAACTGCAATATAAAGCAAAGCCTGTGTTAAAGTATGACAGACGTAACACACCCCACGTTCACCCACGATACTTTCTTACACGTTTGCAGTCCGAATAAATGCAAGAAAAAAATCCTGTCCGTGATGTTGGTCTCACAAAACGTCTCACCGGGCTCCAAAGCAGAGCATCCAACTTTGCTACGTTTTGGGTATTTGCAGATCGCAGAGGTTCGATACTTTGGTGGGAACTCGGAGAGGGCTCTACCGCCTTCTCAAGCTCGTAAATTGAAATGTTTTGAGGGTGTAGAGCAAAGCCTGGAAACGCTTAGGGTCCTCTTGCCTGAGTAAAGTCAAGACGGCTTTTTGAGTTTGTTTGACTGCAAGGGGAAAGGTCGACTCACATTTAGGAGTCTACCCGGTGACTACGGTGAAGACCCTCTTTCCTACTGCAAGAGGAGGCAGAGACCAGCAGTGACCATTGCACCACCCTGATGATGCCTCTGAGCACAACAGAATCATAGAATCATAGAATCATTAAGGTTGGAAGAGACCTCCAGGATCATCGAGTCCAACCGTCAACCCAACACCACCATGCCCACTAAACCATGTCCCTAAGCGCCTCAGCTACCCGTCTTTTAAATTCTTCCAGGGATAAACAGGCAGAATGTTGTGCTCTGAGCCATGGCAGAATTGACCCAGCAAGACAAGAATCCAGATATTAAAGTATCATGAAAACTACTTATAAAAACATTTAACTCCACACACATTTGTATTTTCTTGTCCAAGTTTGTCCAATAGTTCAGTGCTTTTAAAATCAGGGATTTTCCTCCATTTCATTAATCAATAATTGACTGCTCTCTTGCCACATTTGGTGATAGACCAGCTTTCCAAGGAAGCTCAAGATGATGAAAATAACCCAATAAAATATATTTTTAGGGTCTTTTTTTTTTTTGAGAAGGCAAGTTAGAACCTGAATTCCAACTCAACCGCTACATTTCAGCAGAACAAAAAAACGCCTGTGCTGAGCGCTCTCAAATAAGAGTCATGCCCCGTCCAACTCTGCACCAACAGAGACCTTATTATCCTTTGGGGGAGGAAGTCGGATTTTTTCCACTTAGTTACGTTCCCAGGTAGTTCTTAAATAAGATTTCCCTTCCCCCTGTGTTTAAAGGGATACTTTAACACAACAAGTTAATGCCTTGGCTGTGTGCTGCTCCATACTGCCATCGTTGTGTACTGAACCCTAAAATAGAGCGATGACCGGCCGGCCACCGGCGAGCGTGATTTTATTTTAAGGAGAGGACAAATGCCAAGATGCCAAAATTAACAACGCTTCTTCCTACCTTAATTATCATAAGTAAATCATCCACCTGCATGTCATTAGGAGCCCATAAAGGTTCTTCCAGTGGTGCCCCCTGCAAACAAACCAAAAAACAAGCTTTTAAAACCAAAGAGTTAAAATTCACCAACATCTTTGGAAAACGGTCTTTTTACTGCCGCCAGCAAGGTGATTCCAGTTCATTTTACCAATATCCAACACGCAGCTTTTCATTATTGCTCAAGCTAGAGACACACTTGAAAAAATGGAAATAAATTTTAAATACAGAAGGCAAAATCGTGGGAATTTCCCGGGTTAAAAGTGCTTTCAGACAGGGGCAGCAGCAGGTGATTACAGGTCAGCAGCAGCAGTTACAAATGAGGAGGAGACTCTGACGTTCACAGCTTCGCTTGGTACGTGCACTGCTGTTTGGGGTAAAGTAAAGTTTAGGAGGGTCCACAGCTAGAAGAAGTAGATAATTTTTATCGTAGCGAAGGCATCATGTTCGCCTTGGGCTCCTACGAGTGAGTATTTACCCAGACACAAGTGGTTGGGGCACTTGAAAAACGCGGTTCCGTGTATGTTCATTTATTCCCATCCCAAGGAAAGAGGCCAGAAAGCCGCACGGCGGTCACCAGGACTTCTGATGGCCACGTGCCAGTGAGACAGCCACCAGCGGACTTCCCCAGGCCCAAACCTCTCTGGGTACAGACTTTGGCTGTAGGGTCAAGTGCAATCCTACAGGGAACAGGCCGAAGCTTGTCCCTGCGGTGTTCAGGTGACCTGCAGTGACGTTTGTGATGTTCTCACACCTCGGCACAAACCAGCCTCCCTCCCCACCAGCTCTCGGACGTGGGTTCCTCACTCCATCAGCAAACCCGCACTGCAGGGGCTCACGGTTCACTCGCGAAGTCGAGACTGTTCCCGGCTGATCCCCTCTTTTACATGGCAAGCCAACTCGCTCCCTCTCTGTCCGTCTCTGTTCTCCACCCCAAAATATTTTTTACCTCAATCAGTTTTGAGGCAGCAGCGGGCTCCTTGCAGGAGTTTGCAGAACCAACCCCTCCTTTCACTAATCCCATCTTCTGGGCTGGTGCTATAAAGTACAAAATTAGAGACCTGAGGCAGTTTTAGATTTAGAGTCGAATATATTTAATCAAATTAATATTTTTTTCCTATTGACATCTTTTCTCCCCAGCCTTGGGCAGGGTGTGACCCAGCCATCTGCTCTGTCGGTGCCAAGTAGCTGCGGAGCTCAGATGTAATCCCTGGGTGATCTCCTCGCTGCTTTTCATCCTACTCAAGTGTTGACTCGAGCACTTGTTCAATTAGACAAGTCTCAGCACTTCAATCAGATGGGCGCACAAGGCTGATTTTCACCTCCACAGAGAAGAAACAATCTGATTTAGTCGAGTGTGATAGAACCAGGAGCTTCAAAGCAACGAGACCTGGAGATCACGTCTGCTCTGAAGTCTGCCAGAATCGCTGCTTAACCCGAGCAGACCACCAGCAACCAGCAACTTCCATTTTAAGAGAAGCTGAGAGAGCAGATTAAAACGACGTTGGATCTGGCAGGGAGGAGAAGAGCTGGGTTACTTTCCCGATATTTCTTTTTTAAGGCAATGGGAGAACGGCCTGAGGCGTCTGCTTTCTCTTGTCTCTGGCTCAAAGTGAGCAACCCACGGAGGTGCCGAACTCGCTGGTCCCCCCGCACCACCTGCATTTCCTTCCTTACGATCCAGCGTTTCCCGACACCTCCCAGCGACGCTGCTGTCCCCGGGCAGGGGTGTCTGGGGGCTGCAAAGTCCAGCCCTCAGCCTGCCCTCTCCTCCCCGCGCAATGGGAATGAGGTCCCTTCGTCCTTCAGTTAGCTAATACGCATTTAAAACAAAGGGGTAAATTTTACGGGACCAAATCAGGAAGCTGGCATAAGCAACCGCGCTATCAATATTTTCATGGTCAATTTATTCCTTCATTCACAAAACTGCCAGATTCAAAATGCAGCCTTGGACAGTGCTGAGAAGTGCAAGAGAAGTTGGAAGACTTTGCATTCACCTCCAGCTTTAGAAAGCCTTGCTGGAACGAAGGGCTCCCCTTCCCTGCCGTTATTAGCATCATCTGAGAGTTAAAAGGGAATCAGCAATGAGGCTGAGTTTTTACAAAGCTTGAAGCAAGACACACGCAGTGCACGCTGACGGCTCCTTCCAGGATGAGGCCAACATCTTGCTGAAGGAAAAAAGTACACTGGAAGGTAATGAAACAAAGCAAATGCAAAGGCAGAATGAAAACAAAAGAGCTTATAAAAGTCAACGCAACATGTTTGAATGGATTTTAGAGCAGGCTGCGTCTTCAGATGGCTGTAAAAACAGATCAGTACCAGAAGAAGAGAGTAATTCATGATGCATGACTTGCAGTGACTCATAAACCTCGCTCCTTTTGACAGGTAAGGAGCACGGTGCAGGCATGCACTCAAGTCGCTCGAGTACGCAAGAGTAGAAACATCTTATTTTATAAATACTTACAAGAATATCTTACATCCACACCTGTTCTTAGAAATTAAGAAACTATGGCCTGCGCGTAGAGGAAGCATGATTGCCAAAGAACAAACGTACGACAGAACTGAAAGGAGGTGGCATGTCCCACATTCGGCTTATTCAGCCCCGGCCACCCACAAGCCTTTCCACTCCTCTGCCGTGCCCCGACCCCACTGTGCCCCACCGTGCCAGCAATGTAATCCGCTTGCCAGATAATCCTCCAAAAACGCGGTGTCCTGAGGGTCCGGTGCAGTCAGCTGACTGCGGTAAGCCATGGCTGCAACCCACTGGCCTCGGGAATAGTATGATTACTATTTGTAATTATTATTTGTGTATGTTAGTTGTATATGTTTGGATGAAAGCCATTTAACCAGGTAGATGTATACGCTGTTATAGCAGACCAACAGTAAGGAAGGCACGCTGGCTATAGGGAGGAGCTTCCATTCTCTACAGCCAAAATTCAGTTTTCCAAGTCCAGCAGCACTGGGAAACCCAACACTGGCCTGATCCAGGTGTTTCTGGAAAACACCGTAACATAAAGCTCCTTCAGAAGGAGCTTCAGTTATGAAAGAGACCCTGGGACTCACAGCCAAGTGTCTTCTAGTATGGTGCTGTGCCGAAAGATTAAAGACTCCTTTGCAAACCTTGCAAGCAAGGTGAAGGAGAAGGTCTACCTCTCCTATTTTAGATTCACAAGACAAAGCAGTTTTATTGGTAAGAAGTCAGGTGAATTGGTTGTGTTTGTGTTTTTATTTATACCAAGAAATGGAAGATTAAGAGCTGCGTGTTTGCAAGCTCACCTGCAGGCTCCATCCCCTGCAGATGGACTGGTCCAAGGGATGGTCCATGGACCAGCAGGGCGCAAGTTAATGCCAGGAGAGAGTTCAGCCACGCTTATACCTCAACAAGTAACAGAGGCAGCTTGTCTCGCAGAGCCTGGGAGCCCCAAAACTGCAGCTCGACTAGTGACTTCCCACCAACAAACAGGAAAATGCTGCGGATGGCGAGTTACGTGCTTGGGAGTGAGGAGCTCCTAGTAATTCAGCAGTGTCCCGACACCTCAGCTGAGGTCAGGGCCCTATCATGAGCTATAAAGAACTGCGGGGTGTTCTCTCCCTGAAAGAGCAATTACACCTGCAAACAGCACCTACAAAAAGATGGACGGGACCATGAGAAAGGTGCCATTCCTTGGTGTTTCTTCTCTCCCAGAACAGCTCAAGCAGAAGGTCGGTGACCACGCTGGTAGGAGAGCCCAAACCCAATTCACAGCCTGGTACCCTGTTTTACCCACTACGTTAAAGCTGCTAAACCTCTGCAGCCAGGTTGTGCCACCCTCCGCAGCAAACAGCCATACTTAAAGTCATGGGAACGAATACTTTGGTGGACACGGTGGACCAGCAGGCATCCAGAACGAGAACTTCACTCAAGCTGCACGTTTCTGCGCTGGATCATCCCACCTGCTATGGAACAATTTTATGGCGCAACAGCATTTCTTCTATAAAAACGAGGAACACAGGCCCACAAACTAAGAGGTCTCTTTTGGAAGAACCCCGCTGAGAACGTGCTTGGGGAACGGCCGCACTAGGTGGGACTTCAGACAACGACAGCAGGTTTGTTAATCGAGAACGTTGACGGTACAAAATGTTACACACAAAAATGTTCAAGATCTGGGGTTGGCAAAGGTGGCCCACAGTTATAGGACTCCTCCATCTCTTATTAAAATAATTAAAATAAAAGTAAGGCAGGTATTAGTTGGCTAGACAGCCCCAAATCCTGCCGCCTGCGTAATCCACCTGAAAGCCAAATGTATCAAGGCAAATTAAAGCTGCCTTTAATCCATGCAAATCTCAGCACAGGCATCTTTTATTCTCTTACCTCCTGCCACGAGTTTAGTCCTGCCCCGCACCCCTTCGTGCTGCCAGAGCTGCGGGAGCAAAACACCACAAAGCTCCATGTTTCAGTAACACGGAGAAGAAATTTTAGACCTTTCACACATTTTGGGGCGGACGCAGCTTTACGCTTCCCCGGTTGGGTTGAGACCAAACCCCGTTCCACCCGCGCTTGGTTTAATGATCTGTATCGACACACATAAATTAGGGCAATTTGCGCATAAATTAGGCAGCGTCATTATGCTAATTGGGATGGTATGATTGTGCCGAGCGTGTTTGCAATCTGCCACAATCCTCTGGGACAGCGCTGCGAGTGAGCTGCTGCCGTCTGAAAAGGCCGGCGCTCCGCTGGCATCCCGCTGCGGCAGGTACGGCCGCGCGTCGACCCAGCGCAAGCCTAAATAACGGAGGAGAAGGGGCGAGGAGACCCGCTGGGATTTGCCTCGTCTGAAATGCTGGTTTCTCTTCTAAGCTATAATGCCACCCTCAAAAAATAACTCTACCCCCTAAACATGGCATCCTAACCTCACCCGCAATGCATGAAACAGGTCAATTTATAGATGGGGGCAGAGAGAGGCTGCTAGAAAAATAAACCACCACGGTGCAAACACCAAGGTGCATCTAAGACAAATAAAGAGCAGGAGACTCAAATCCCCTGCACTTTGCTTTATCAA